TTATCAGTGCAATCTATTAATTCTTTTTCAGTATCAGGATTTTTAATTTCTTTAGCGAGGTATTCTTGAGCTTTCTTAGATTTATCTTCCCATTGGTTTTTATGATGTGGTGCGGCGACATTAAGGTAGCTAGTAGCAAGTCCTGTCTTCCACCATGGTTCTGATTCTGGTGATCTAAGCTTCGGATTTTGTGTACATTTTTTCACTTCAGTTATTACTTTGGTAGCTGGAACGTCAATTTCCTTACAAATTGTCTCACTAACTTCAAAAGATCCGTCATCCTTTTGATTAGAAATTATTTCGCCACATTTTTCTGGTGTGGCAGACTCCTGCACCGTAATGACTGCATTTCTCTTTTTATCTTTAATCACCTTCTTAATGCAATTATCAACTACATAATTGTCCGCACATTCTTCAAGTTCTTTTTCGGCATCTTTATCTTTTATTTGATCAGAGAGATATTTACGAGCTTTGTCAGCTTTGTCTTTCCATACATCTTCGTGTTTAGGTGCAGCTTTCTTAAGGTATGAAAGGTTAACAGCAGTTTCAAGACTTGACTCGGGTAATTTGAGTTTCGGATTAGTAATGTTCTTTTGAATTGTCTTAATAATTTCTTCTTTAGGTGCATCTAGTTCGTCACAAACAGTATCTTTTAATTCAATACAGCCATCATCTTTTTGATCCGCAACGATTTCTTTGCATTTCTCAGGAGAGGCTGCTTCCTCAACGACTATGAGTGCTTCCGCTTTCTCATGATCATCAAGTTTATCTTTATCAAACCCAAGAGCTTTTTCAAATTGATCTTCGAGTTTAACAGCTGCTTCATAAATACCACCGAAAAAGCTTTTAGCTTTAGGTTTTTCCTCTTTCGGTATGTCATCTTTCTTAAGATCAATTACATCTCGTTTCTTTTCTTCAATCACTTTTTCTGTAGTCTTTTCAACTACAAACTCATCAGCACAATCCAACAATTCTTTTTCAGCATCGGCATCACCAATTTGTTTGGAAAGATAGTCAAGAGCTTTATTATATTTATCTTCCCATTCACCTTTGTATTTAGACGCTGCATTTTTCAGATATGATATATTAACAGCAGTTGCAAGGCTAGATTTAAGCTCGGGTGATTTGAGTTTTTTATTAGTAATCTTCTTTTGAATTGTACTAATAATTTCTTCTTTAGGAGCATATAATTCCTTACATATTTCATCATCAAGCTCAATGCTGCCATCGTTATTTTGTTTAGATACAATGTCTTTATGTTTATCGGGAGAAGCTGATTCTTGAACAACAGCAATTGCAGCATCTTTCTTATGATCTTTTTCAACCTTTTTAGTAATATTATCAACAAAGTATTTATTAGCGCAATCTAATAATTCTTTTTCAGCATCCTTATCTCCAATTTGTTTAGAAAGGTAATCGCGAGCTTTCTTATCTTTATCTTCCCATCGTTTTTTATGATGTGGTGCGGCGATATTAAGGTAGCTAAGAGAAAGTGCTGTCTTCCAACATGGCTCTGATTCGGGTGATCTAAGCTTCTTATTTTGTGTACCTTTTTTAACTTCAGTTACTACTTTAGTAGTTGGAACGTCCATTTCTTTACAAATTGTCTCGCTCAATTCTAGAGACCCGTCATTATTTTGCTTAGATACTACATCGTCACATTTTTCTAGCGTGGCTTGTTTTTGAACCGTAGCTACGGCATTCCTCTTTTTATCTTTAATCGTCTTCTTAATACAATTTTCAACCACATAATCATCCGCGCATTCTAAAAGTTCTTTTACAGCATTTTCATCTCCTATTTGTTTTTTGAGATATTCGCGGGCTTTGTTATATTTATCTTTCAATTCACCTTCATGTTGAGATGCAGCTTTCTTAAGATATGAAACGTTAATTGCAGTTGCAAGGCTTGATGAGAGGTCGGGTAATTGAAGTTTGCTATGAGTAAGTTTCTTTTTAATTGTCTTAATAATTTCTTCTTTAGGTGCATCCAGTTCTTTACAAACTGTATCACTTAATTCAATACAACCATCATCTTTTTGATCCGCGACAATTTCTTTGCATTTTTCGGGAGAGGTTGATTCAACAATAACAAGTGCCTCCGCTTTCTCATGATCATCAAGTTTATCTTTATTAAATCCAAGGGCCTGTTCAATATCATCTTCAAGCTTAGTAGCTTCATCATAGAGATTGCCAATAAAGCTTTTAATTTTAGATGGTACGGTTTTTGGCTCTTCAGATTTTGGCTCTTCAGATTTCTTGACGTTTTTATCGACTGCATCATCAATTTTTGTTCTAAATGCTTTATCTTTATTGTCTATAACAATAGATTTGGCACTTTCGATGTCTGTATCACGGTTCAAATGTTCTGATAACCGAAAAAAAGTTAGTACAGTATAATGTGCGATCTTATTTATAAATAAAACTCGTGATTACCTTGGTATGGAGTATCAAGTCCGATAACTTCATCATCGATGTTATATTTTGTGATTACAAAATCTTTAGCAGATCCCAAAAGTTCACGTTCGATTTGAGGATTTTTAATTTGTAAACTTAACCATTTATGTAAATCATCGCACTCAGTGGACCAATGTTGACGATGATCTACACCCAACAAACGGAAATACCATATCGCTACAGCAGTGGCCAAAATGTCACTAGGAAGTTTCTCCAAGTCGTTAGAAATAAAGTGACTACGTAATGCTATTTCCAAGGATTCTTTATTAAGGAATCCAAGTTGTTGTGCAAGCTCATCGGTAATTTTAAATCCACCATCCTTTGTACGATAAGTAATGAATTTTTTAACATCCTCAACAGTAGTAGTTTTTTGAGTAACCTTAGTTCCAGATAAAGAGATTTGTCTGCGATTTTTGTTTGCTAAATTTCGAATAAAAAAAAAATAAATGATGTTTAAAATACAAAAATAAACAGATTGATTTACAGAACTCGAAGCTTGTTTAAATCATCAAACATACCTGTCATTCGTCTCTTCTCTACGATCTTTTCTTGTCTAATTGCCTCATCTTTAGTTTTAACAGCTGCAACGAAGCTATTATCAGCTGCAATAGCTTCTTTATCAACTTGATATCTTTGTACAACGAAATTTTTGGCACATTCCATTATTTCATTCTCGAGATTAGTATCTCCATTGCATTGTTTTGTTAACCAACTGGATGATTTCTCATAATTAGCGACCCAATCAGGTCGATGATCAACGGCAACCAAACGTAGGTACCAAATTGTGCACGCAGTTACCCAAACGTTATGATGAAGTTTAGTGATACGCTCTGTTTTAAAGAATTTTCGCAAGTGTTGTAAACATTCATCAACACTTTTGAAGCCATAGTATTCAGCAACCTTTTCATTTAGGGCAATACAACCATCATCATCTTGATGATTAGTAAGTGTGCGAATATGACGGATAGTGATAACCTTTCGTGTAATGATGGTGTGTTTGACTAAAAAGACGTATAAATTATATAAGTTATTTTAATTAAAAAGACCAAATATAATAACTAAAATACATAAATTCCCTACCAGGAGTTATAATTTCATTTTGTTTCTGTTCATGGTTCGGGCGAAAAAATTTCGTTTGAAATCTTTGATGAAAATCTTTTTATATCAGAC